ACTACTGTGTACAAATATATGTGCTTTGTAGTCTCTGCATGTACACGGTCCAATTGATTCGCCAAAAAAATTTAAATTTATCATTCTTAAAAAATAAAAAATAGAAATTAACAACTGTGTTTTAAACATGCAGCAGAGTAGGCGTCCGTTAATTAACTCAATCATGCATTTACCTTTTTGCACGATCGTTTTTGTCTTCGTGGAAAAAATTGTGCGGACCTATACAACAATCCTCTATCATTACGTAAAACGCTTACATGCACTCAAATGTTTATTCTAGCCAAGCAGATAACAACAGTTTTTCATAAAGGGTGTATCGATTGTTTGAGACCCTCCCTCAACAACTTAGTGCATCACTGTATAACAATTGGGTCTGTTTCCCTAAATAAGTATATTACATTAACTCCAGTATTATCTTCGAAAATGAACATCGATGTTGGATTAAAACATAAAAAAATTAATATTGTGACTGAGAAACATAGCTATCAAAACTTAGCAGTCTTTAAGACATTTTTCTTTGACCTCTTTCTCTCCACCCGATGTGAGTGTTTGTTTGATATTTGTTTATTGTAAATTCCAAAGTCTCGTTTCCAAAAGCTCCTTGTTACTGGTCTCCAGGGACCTGGAGACTTAATTCTGAACGTTCCAACCAACCTTGGTCTGACAGGTGAGCTCCTGAGAGGAAATAGCCGTTTGCTAAAGGGGAAGACTTGTTTACTGAAATCAAAAACTGGTTTTCTGAGAGGAAATGCCTTTTTCTTCGTTTTTGTCTCCGACTCAGAAGGTTTCGAAGAATCGGAACCAAGCAAAGGTATATCCGGGTTTTTATCGGGCAGGTTCAACTGCATCAAAGAGACCTGGTGTGGACTCACCACGCTGATTGGCTGCCCCCCAATCACTCCGTTCGGTGCCGTAACCCCAGCCCTGTGGTTGGCCAGATTCTGTAACTGATACATGTACATTAAGTGATCGTTCACTGAGGCATCTCTGATTTTCTGTCGTTCTTGTTCTTCTTGTTCAGCATTGACGTTGCCTGAAAAATAAAACGATTTAGCTAAACCTCAAGGCCTGAGATATCCGTTTAACCATCCATTGGACTCGCAGCTAATTTGTGCAGCACTTTGAGACAGTTTAAAGCTTGGTTGGTAATACACCAAAAAAGAAAACTGCTTGTTGATCTTCTCAAGGGTTGCATTCACATCATCTCAGCTCCAAAGATAAGAATGGAATCATGTAACTTCTCAACCAAATTAAAGTAAAATTTTGAAAAGTCACGAATTCACTTTCACAAGGGGAAACGATAACTAAACAGACTGGGGTAAGGGGCGCTGCTTAAAGAGGAAAAGTACTGAACGTACGAAAACGTTGGTGAAAATTCATTTTCACAGCTTAAAAGATGAAAACTTCACACTGATGAATGAAAAGAACTTGAAAGAAAACGTAATACTCCAAAAACCTTTCACATCTGAGGATTCTAAAAACTATTCGCGGATCTCTTAGAATGTTACTCGCACCTCACTATAATTTTTATCTTTAGTTTCCCTGAAGGGAAATAGAAAACTTACCAAGCTCCTCTTGTAATATCTTTGTTTGAAGTTTCTCATCCATTTTGTTGTCTTGATCGTTAAGCAAAGGATGTATTATATTATTTAGCGCTGAAACAGCATCAGGAGCTTCCTGACCCTCGTCTCCAGCTAGTTTATTAATTTGTGGCGTCACTCGAAATACATTACCGTTAACTGTATTGTCATCTAGAGCGAGAGAATCTTGGCCGAGAGAGGACAGGGACGAGGATTGATAATTCATACCAGGTCGAGTGGGTGTACCATCATTTAGATCTTTTAGGAAATCTTCCATGCTCATTTTCCCCGAATTCTTTGAATAAATATGCAAAAGACCATCGTCTGATGGTTTAAGTCTTCCAGTAAGCGCATCCTTTAACTTTTTACTCAAATAGTCTTCAAATTCACTTTTGTTATTTTTTAAGAATTTTCTTAACATCCGAAGAAGGTATTTCTTCAGCTTTCGTTTAAAGTCACGCTTTCGATTTTTCATTCGGCGACATCGTCTGTTATGTAGTCCAAACAGTTTGCAAATTTGTTCTTTTCTTTTCGAATTAAAATGCTTAAAATTGTTCAGAATATCTTCCCATCTCAGTTCAAAGCCTTCTGGTTGTTCAACGTGGATTTTTGGGCTATCATTGTTATCTCCAGAGCCATCTTTAACCTTTTTCTTAATTTCTTGAAACAATTGACAGATTTTTGCGTTGCGGTAGGTTTTCGAATCACACATTCGAGACGTTTTCTCATCATCATCATAATCCTCATTTACTGGACTGTCCTCGTCATTCATTTCGTCGTCATCATCATCACCTTCAATATCGTCATCATTATCGTCGTCATCCTCATCGATCTTGTCCTCGTCATCCTCTTGCCCTTCAGCGATCATTCTCTGTAAAGTTTGGTCATCAACGCCTAAAATAGACTGGATCTCTTTAGCGAGGGTATCCTTGTTCGGTCCTACTACATGCTGCAATTCCTTGGCGACTTTTTTTGAAGCAATAATTTTCACATTTTTCCGCGGATAGCTGAGATGGTCAGGAATGTGAACAGCTAGCCATTTACCTTTTCCATTTTTTGGATGAAATTCCTTGATCTGCATGTTTCTGGTGTCAGTTCCCCGGACTGCTGAATCAGGGAATACGACCACTTTGCTCGGCTCGATCTTTTCACTTGTTCTCTTCACTGACTCTACCGCTTGCCTTGCGGGCCCTGTTCAGAAGGCAGTTGAAATTTCCATGCACGAAAAAACAATATTAGAAGGTTTAAGATGACACAATTCAAGGAAAGTACTTTGGATAAGACAGATAAAAGTCTGTGTGACGTCCACAGTTTAATGTTAAAGTACTTGCAGAAGTCTCACAAGAACCAAAGTGGAACAAAGAAAAATATTGCCATCTGCTACTCTTAATTATTATTATTATAATTGTTGTGATAAGAACTTAGGGGCCAATTTGTTTAATTTTTACCGTTAAGAACTTTAAGTTTAACTCTTAATATAACGAAAAACAATTGATCACTTTTTAGCCGCAAATATGAGGCTTTGATTGAAATTTCCTTTCTTCGTTGTTACAAAGTTAAGGTTTGTGTCTGAAAAAATTCATTCTGATTTAGCTGAGGCCATGGTATTAAAGGGCCGTCTACCGTGAATGTAACTGTTTAATGTTACATAGAAAACAGATCTTGGTCCGAAGATTAGCATGAACAGTTGTGACTGTAGGAGCTTGACAGTGATGCTATATTATGTTGAGTCGTTTTGCTGTAGTAGTCCGTTGTAGTTCATAAAAATAAAGAAAGTCGCAGTAGAATTATATCAACGA